CTCTTTTCTCCATACTTTTTAGTATGGAGTATGATTTACAGTGATAAAGAGTGCTTGGTCTAACTTTGAACTGAGGTTAAGTACAGCTTCAGCCTTAGTTTACGGTGGCTGTGGTGCAGAGAGGCTTCCCTTAAACCATGCTGCTGTGAATGTCAATCTTCTAAATTCTCTTTTTACCGATGGAGCTAAGTTGGGCATTTGGATAACCATAATATTGCCTTTTCCAATATCATGCTATTGGGTCTTTGTGCTTAAGGTGGGTTCTGTTTTTAGGCAGCTCCCAAAATTGAAATGAGTTGGGTTCAACCTGGACAGGTGGCTTGGTTGGTTAGAGAATTGTCCCCTGTACCAAACGGTTGTAGGGGCAATCTCCTGTCAGGGCACATACCTAGGGTGTGGGTCCGATCACTGACAGGGGCATGTATGGGAGGCAGCTGATTGATGTTTCTCTCTCACATCGATGTTTCTCTCCCTCCCTCTCTCCCTCCTTTTCTTTCTTTAAAATCAGAAAGGAGAAAGGACTCGTGGACATGGACAACAGTGTGGTGATTGCTGTGGGGAGGGGGTATGTGGGGACAAAAAGGTAACGGAAAAAAATACAATGACGATTAAATCGAAACAAATAAAATCAATAAACATATCTTCAGATGAGGATTTTTAAAAAATAATAAATAATTAAATAAAAGTGAGTGGGGTTCTCCCCAGTCCACCTGCTCCACCAAAGCCATTTCATCCATTATACAGCCACTGAATATTCCCAGGTGTGTTTCTCTCAGTTTTCTGCACCCTATTCTCATCCCCGATTTTTACCCCTTTCTTACACAGAGGAGTTGAGCCGTATCCTAGTTTTTGGAATGTACATGCTCACTCCTTGCATCCTGCTCAGAACACCAATAGTAATATCAGAATGAAACCACTTCAGAAGGCAGCTGGGGAAATTGTAAATACTATAGGCTTATTTTCCGTCATATTTTCACATAAAGTCATTATGTGAAAATGCTCTATAAGTCATAATTATCTCACCAGAGTAAGATGTAACAGAAATCCTACAATAAGCATAAAAGCAAGAAAATAGACCCAACAAGAGAATGTAGCGTGAAGTAGAGAAAGGCGGGTGGGGGTTGGGTTGCCATAAGTAGCTCTGGGTTATGAGATTAGTGGAACCCACAAGGGGGGGGTTGGAATTAAGTCTGTAGGAGGAGACATTATCTAGGAAACTAAATAGCCATGATCACTTTGAATATTATGTCTTCCTTGTTTTCTTTATTTGATTCAGCAACACCTAATACTCATGTACTAGAGACTTTATTGTTTTCTTTCATGCTTCTTACCCTTTTTACATTTTCATTTTTACACTGTTTTGTACTACAGTTATTTAAACCTGTTTTCCAGTTTATTGCCTCTCTTCTAGTCTGCCATTTGACTGGTCAGTTTTAGAATTTTCATTTCTTTCTAATTTTTGCACATTATTTTTATGGTATTGTTCTTCTTATGTGATTTCTAGACCTTACTTTATCTTTTTGAATATCCGGAAAATTCTCATTTAAAAGCCTCTTTTAGACTGTTCTGTTATTTCTGATTTTTTAAAAGATTTTATTTATCTTTAGAGGGGAAGGGAAGGAGAGAGGGAGAAAAATATCAATGTATGGTTGCCTCTCGAGCATCCCCTGCTGGGAACTGGCCTGCAACCCAGGCATGTGCCCTGACTGGGAATCGAACCACAATTCTTTGGTTTGCAGGCCTATGCTCAATCCACTGAGTTATACCAGCCAGGGCTATTTCTGATTCTTTAGGTATGAAATCTCTCTCTCTGAACTAAGACTAATAGCTTCCTCATGACGGTTTGCCTGTACATGTGACTTGTACAGTTTGATGTTAAGGTGGTTTTCCTTGGAAGTTCCAGGCCTAAGGATTCTAAAAAAAAATATAGGGCACTTTCAGATTTTTTTCTTGGTGGGTTTTCTTTGATTTGGACAAGTTTTAATGTTAACCTCTTGACTTAGGGACTCCATACTGCATCAATAATTTAGGCTTGGATCCCACTCTTGGATGTCTTTCAGGCGTGGGTACTTGTTTCTCATGGGTTATATTTTCTTGCTTCCCTACTCATCCCCTTAATGCCCTAATTCAGAGTTGGAATCTTTTCCTCTGGCCAGTTGGAGTGGGGGCTTCCAGTGCTTGTTACATGGACAAACAGCCCTCATGACTCCAGCCTACATAAAGAGAGCCAAGTTCAACTCTGTGTTTAAAAAAATTATATTTTATTGTTTATGTTATTACAGTAGTTCAAATTTTTCTCCTTTTGTCCCCCTCTTCCCAGCAGCCCCCTCATCAGGCAATTTTCACACCATTTTCCATGTCTATACATCATGCTTATATGTTCTTTGGCTACTATGTTTTCTATGCTGTGCTTTACATCCCAGGCCTATTCTGTACCTACCAATTTGTACTTCTTAATCTCTTCAGCTTTTCACCTATTCTCCTACCTTTTCACCCATCTTCCTAACCCCTCTCCCCTTTAGCAACCATCAAAACCTTGTATGTATCTATGATTCTGTTTCTGTTCTGCTTGTTTGTTTATTTTGTTTTTTAGATTCAATTGCTGATAGATATTTTGTTGTAATTTTATTGTTCATATTGTTGTTGTTCTTTTTTTTTCTTCCTTAAGAAGACTCTTTGACATTTCGTATAATTCTGGTATGGTGGTGATGAGCTCCTTTGCCTTTTTCTTCTCTGGGAAGTTCTTTATCTCTCCTTTTATTCTAAATGATAGGTTTGCTGGGTACAGTAAACCTATTATTTAGAATCAAAGGTCCTTGCTTTTCATTAGTTTGAGTATTCCTCACCAGTGCTTCCAGGCCTGCAAAGTTTCTTTTGAAAAACAATCTGACAGTCTTATAGGAGCTCCCTTGCAGGTAACTAACTGCTTTTCTCTTGCTGCTTTTAAGATTCTCCCTTTGTATTTAATGCTCGGCATTTTAACTATAATGTGTCTTAGTGTGGGCCTCTTTGGCTTCATCTAGTTTGGGACTCTGTGTGCTTCCTAGATTTGTGCATCTATTTTCTTCACAAAGTTAGTGGAATTTTCTGTTATTATTTCAAATAAGTTTCCAACTTTTTGCTTTTTCTCTTCTCTTTCCAGCACCCCCATGATGCAAATACTGGTACATTTGAAGTTGTCCCACAGGCTACTTACACTATCTTCATTTTTTTCTGTTCTAATTGGTTTTGTTTTGCTTCCTTATGTCCCAAATCTCTGATTTGAATTTTGGCATGATCCACTGTACTGTTGATTCCCCCCAAATTGTTCTTTATTTCAATTGGTGTATCTATCATTTCTGACTAAATCTTTTTTATGCTGTTGAGGTCCTTACTAAGTTCCTTGAGCATCCTTATAACCAATGTTTTGAACTCTGCATCTAGTGGTTTGCTCGTCTCCATTTTGTTTAGTTATTTTTCTGGAATTTTGTTCTGTTCTTTCATTTGGGCCATGTTTCTTCGTCTCTTGATTTTGGCAGCCTTCCTGGGTTTGTTTCTATGTATTAGGTAGAACTGCAGTGTCTCCCAGGTTTGATAGAGTAGCCTAATGTAGGAGGTGTTCTATAGGGTCCAGTAGCACAGCCTCCCCTATTACCCGGGCTGGGTACTCAAGGTGCACCCACTGTGTAGGCTGAGTACACCTTCCTCTTATAGTTGAGCCTTGATTGTTTTAGGTACATTCAAGGTCAGCCACCACCTATGTTTTGTTCAGAGTACACAGCATAAACTACTAAGCAATCTGCAGATGGCTGCTACTTGTACTGGGCTTGGAAGTGCCCAGGAAAGGCTAAGCTCTGAATATAGCTGGCTAACGCTAGTGCTGGGCAGGGGTACCTTAGTGAGAGACACAGGGCTTACTGAAGCCAGATGCTGCTTGTTTGAGAGAATTTAGGAAAATCTGAAGCATGGGCCAAGACAAGTCACTTTTATGGAAAATCCACTGGAACCAGCTTGGGTGGGCATAAATGTTGGGTGGGGCAGGGCTTCAGAGATTTACCAGGGTGGGGAAAACAGTGTGAGCCAGGTTTATGGAGTCTCAGGTATGGCCCTCACCTGCTGGCTCTGTGGTTGTGTGGGGGAAGAGCTCAGAAAAGGAACGATGGCCTTTGCCAACACTTCTGTCTGGGAGAAAGCTGCTTCCTCCCTGCTGGCACTTGCCCTGATGCTGGACAATTCAGTTCCTACCAGTATGCCTCTGGAGAACTGAAGCTCAGAGGGAGTGAACCTGAATAAGTTTGTGCCTGGGCCCCTGAAGAGGATCTGCTGAGGAGTCCAGCAGATTTTGTCTTCTGCATTTTCAATCCTTGCTGGTTTTTACAGCCAGAACTTACCTAGACTTATCTTCCTGGCACTGGAACACTGGTCTGAGGAGCCTAGTGTGGGTCTGGGACTCCTCAGTCTTGAGATATCCCTCCTGATTTTCATTTATCACATGTTGATGTGGGACCAGGCTATTCTGTAACTTTGCCCCTTTTACCAGTCTTGATATGGTTTCTTCTTTAATTCCCTAGTTGTAGAACTTCTATTCTGCTCAATTTCTGATGATTCTAAATGATGGTTGTTCTATAGTTCAGTTGTAATTTTGATGTGGTTGTGCAAGGAGGTGAGCCATGTGTACCTATGCTGCCACTTTGACTGAAAGCCCATCAAGGGTCAGCTCTTTATGCGCATCTTTCTCCGCCTGGTTTAGGACCCTGCCATGAGGTCTACTCTGTCTGGCTTGACACCTCCATGAGCCATTCAGTCCGAGCTTCCAGCCTCAACTCTGGCTCTGAATTTCCTCTTCCTTTCTGAATATGGCTGTGAATTAATCACTTTTGGGGGGGGGTTCAGAGGATATTCTGCTTAGATTTTCTACATTAAAATAAAACAATAAGAGATAAACTGTCTTCACAACATGTTACATTGCCCAGAAGTTTGATCATATTCATATTTAAACATGCTTTTTCTTTCTTTTACAGCTAGTTATGTATCAAATCCCATTTGCAAGGGTTGCTTGTCTTGTTCTAAGGACAATGGGTGCAGCCGATGTCAACAGAAGTTGTTCTTCTTTCTTCGAAGAGAAGGCATGCGCCAGTATGGGGAGTGCCTCCATTCCTGCCCATCGGGTTACTATGGACACCGAGCTCCAGATATGAACAGATGTGCACGTGAGCAGCTGACTTTTGTCTGCCTCATTTTACCATTTATGCCACTTAGTGGGAACCAAGTTGAAAGTTTTGACTATAAAGGGGTATATCTTTAATATGCTACAGAAATAGTCTAGGCTTAAACTTTAAAAAATTGAGTGGAGTGTGGGATAACTTTAAATTTATCTTCTGTATAGAAGAATATTGCACATTAACACTTTTTAAGATCTGAATTTTTTTGATAACAAACGTCTCAACATATAAGATTATTAGGCAGATATTTGTAAGTCATACATAGCACTTAACAAAAAAAAGGAATTTAAATACTTTTTTACTGGACACATTCTCTCTACTTTACCACAGTAACTATAGCTTATTTTCCATTTTTTCCTAGTTTGTAATACCTTATTTAGTCTAATATGTAATTTAATACATTTATTTTCGAATTCTGTAAAGCACAATTACTGATAGAAGATGTAACTGAAATATTTAGTTTGTTTGAAAGTATTCTGAGTTCTAAGTTTAACAACTACCAAAAAAAGCTAATTAAGGAATGGCATTCTTGCATACACACATAGGAATGCAGGCACAATGTTTCATCTTTTAATCCAAAAACCATTCATAGAATAAACAGTAGAAATTTGAGTTTAAAAAATCAATGAGATACCAAAGGAACATCCATGTCTTTAAGGAGTTCAAATTTTAGGGAACACGGGAGATAAGGGGGAAGGAGCATGGAGTGAAATGACAGGTGGGTAAGAAGTTTGATCATAATTTAATACACTAAGTACTAATCAGGCAACTGACTGTATTGTAGGAGTGATTTAATTATCTCTCATGAACACACTGTATATGACTATTAAGTCAGTGAGGTGTTAGGATGAGAAGAGTTTGAAATGTATCTTCCAACTACAATATTATTTTGGGAGGATGCAGAACCAGTGGAGAGAGGTTAAGTTGATTTTAGAAAAAAAGGTGCCACACATGTATGAAAATAATGTGTTTAGGGAACTAGTCTCATTTGGGATGCTATTGGCATTATGACAAGGCATCTTGTCCTACATTGCTGGACCTTTATTGCCCTTAGTCCATGCTCTTTAAGTGTCTTTTGTACCCTCAAATCACTGTGACAAACAGAAATGTCAGCAAACACTTCCAGACACCTCCTAGGAGAGTGGTACCGTGTGTGGATGAGAACTGCTGAGTAGAATGTGCATGTTAGAAAGCGTGGTTGGAATTGGGGATGGAAAGGGAGACTTGAATGCTATTGATAAAGGTCTTGAGTACCATGTGGAAAAATGTGATATTATCCGAGGGTTTTGAGCAGGAAGTGGACTAAAAGAATTGCTTTACATGGAATAATTCTGGCAGAAGTGGGAAAATGAATTGGAGAAGAATAGAAAGTAGACTAAGGCTACTGTAACAATTGAGAATTTAGATAGATACAGTGTTCTGAAGAAAGATTTGTGGGTAATGAATTCCAGAGACTTTAAAAATAGTCAGTGGGACTTAGTAACTGATTTGACAGTGGAGAGAAAATCAAATCTGAACCTACACTTTCTAGTTAAGGAGACTGGGGGAAGAGTTTTCCTATCAGCACAGATAGAAATATATAGGCTTAGAGGAAATTTAGATTTGCTTTCATTTTGTGGAATTTTTTAAGATCAGTAACTAGAGGGGTCCCACTTCTAATAATTTATGAGTAGACTGGCTAATTTTTGTAAATAATTACCTTATCCTTATAGTATATGATTTTGGCTACCTAGACATTTTTGAACTTCATAGGAGGATGGGTCCTTAAAGATGGATTCCTGCTCAGATGGCTTTAGACCACTTATGGGAGAATTTGAGTCCATGACTATTCCGTGTGGTTTTCATTCCACACTATCAGTGCACAGGAAAGATGAGGTAGGAATGTAGGTGGCTTTAGGGATTCATCTCAAGCTCTAGGCCTAGCATTATATGTGCTGTGTATGGATGATAGGGTGACCATGTAATGTGTCACTCCACCTGGGACACTGGGGAGTGGGAGGGGCTGCTGTTAAGAATTATGCAGGGGCACAGGGTATAAACCAGAACTGTCCGAGCAAATTGGTGTGGATGGTCACTCAACAGTGCCTCATAGGGTTAGTGTGCCACAGGGGCTTCTGGAGAGAGATGCTCCCAGGAAGGGGTTAACATGCAGTTTTTGGCTAAGTCTACCCTTTTCTCAGAAACGGACAGGGAGCAGTGACTGAAAATCAGCCTTGGAAAGATGATCCGTGTGTGAGAATGGGTTTGCTATGGTTCTCCTCCTCGTAAGTGAATGCAGTCAGTGCTGCATGACCGACCTGGAGGAAGTCGTTAACTTCTCTGGTACAAGCGGGAAGTGCTGACTAACAGGACTCCCGTGACGTCGGGTGAAAGTGGAAAATGATTTCTTAATTTTCAGTGTATGACTTTGGATGACTGTGGTTCTTTCACGCTAGTGATTCATTGTTTTTTTCATAGATACTTTGCATTTATTGCACTGTCATCTGTATTCTATTCAGAGGATGAGACAGGTTTGAATTGGAAAAGCTGTCACAGACTGAGAATCTGACATCGGGTCCACTTTTTGTTTTCTTAAAGAGATTATTTCCCAACAGTAGAGAAGAAAAGCATACTTCAAGCAACAGTAGCTTTATAAAAAGTCCTACAAGTGCAACTTCCTCTTCCGTTTCATAATCACTGGCATAAGAGCCCGATTGTAGAGCAGGATCTTTCTTCCAAAGGGAGACTTGCTCTGTGAAGTGTTGGCTGAGGTTCCCTTCTTGGTCCAAATTGTATGGACCTTATGAATTTCAAACATGCTTATAAAAACCCATTTACGAATAATTTAAGACATACTGTGAAAATATATATAAACACACACCAATGGATGCTAAGAGCAGCCATTGTTTCTGTTACTATTGCAGGGTGTTTCTCTAATATATTTTATTTCTTATTCATTGATAAATTCATTTATGTGAAAAAATTAATTTTGAAAATTGTTATACATATTCCTTGTAGAAAGTTTAGCGAGTAATAGACCTTTTAAAATTAAGCAAAAGCAAAAATAAGCAAAAATCCACTGCTCAGATATAACAAAAGTTAACATTTTAGCTTCTATGCTCAACATAGACCATAGCTTTTAGCTTTTCACCATTAAAAGCAGTTATAGTAAAGATATCCTTCTGCCCCTGACTGGTATGGCTAGTGGCTTGGGCATTGTCCTGCAAACCAAAAGGTCACCAGTTCAATTCCTAGTCAGGGTACATGCCTCATTGCAGACCAGGTCCCCAGGTGCAGGGGTGTGAGAAGCAACCAGTTGATATTTCTCTCCCTTTCTTCCTTCTTCCCCTTCTCTCTAAATATAAATAAATTAAAAAATTTTTTTGTAAAAGGAATATCCTTATATATAGGTTATTTCACAAACATATGTAATTTTACACATTTATCTGATTTATTTTCATAACACAAACTTTCAAACATAATACATTTTCCCAGTTTTATTGTGATATAATTGCCATGTAGCCATGTAGCCATAATGCATATTTTCAAGACTTTGGATATATATTGCCAAATGGACTTCTAGAAAAGTTGTACTTATTCACCTGACTAATAGCAGGTGTTTTACCTTATATCCCACCAACATTGGGCATTATTGCCAAAAAATATATAAAAATGCATTTTGTTTTAATGTGCTTTTATTTGATACAAATGAATATAAACATTTTTCATGTGAATAATGTCATTATAGGGTATTTACAAGAATCTCTCTCTGGCCTTTTCCCTTCTATTTGCACAGCTGTCTTGTTATTAGTAATATAAAAAAATCTTTAAATGAAGTATCATAGAATTTTATGTTCACAGGTCATAAGTGGAGAGTTTAATGAACTATCAAAAAAGTGACCACACATTTGTAGCCACCACTCAGGTAAAGGGGGAATGTGAGCAGCAACCCAAGAATCCTCATTGTATCCATTCCCAATTTCTCCCCTCTTTCCTCTTTTAACAAAACTACCATCCTGTCTTGTAACCAACATGCATGTGACAGATTTTTCATGATGACACTAGTCATATTAGCTCTAACTTGGAAACAACCCAAATGTCCAATAGAGTATCTAAAAAGTATAGTATGTTTTAAAAAATGTAGAAGCAGAAATGAGTGAAATACTACAACATGCAGCAATATAAACAAATCTTACAACATAATGTTGAATGAAAGAAGCCATAAAAATAATATATATATTTATTTATATGCATTTTAAAAAATAGGAAAAATTAACCTATAGTGCTAGAGGCAAAATTATGGTTCTTACTGTATTTATTGAACACGTACTGTGTGCCAGCTTTGGTACTAGATACCTGGAAATATAATAATTAGGAATAACTAGTTAATGCCCTGGAGTTACTTATGGTTTAGTACAGTGATTCTCTATTAGGGGTGATTTTGCTCCTTAGGGGATATTTAAAAATGTTTGGAGGCATTTTTGGTTGTTACAGCCAGAAGGATGCTACAGGTATCTAATGGATAGAAGCCATGGATCCTGCTAAACATTCTACAATGCACAGGACAGCCTCATTCAGTAAAGTATGTTCGGACCCAAAACGTCAGCAGTGTTGATGTTGAGAAAACTCGGTCTCAGGGAAAAGACAGACAATTCGGTGTATTATGTGGTAACGGTCGCTCATTATTTAGCTTTTGTTCTAGACCTACTCTGTTAGAAGTGCTTTTTCCCATTTTTCAAAAAAAGTGTGCAAAGTAGGTTATGGTATTTCCATTTTGTGGATGAAGTTACCTGACTATGTAAAATATGCTTTCTAAAGTTTGAGGTGTATTTCAGCAATGTAGGTGACAGGAAGATGTGGGCATTTTCAAAGTTATTAGATTAGGAAGATGTGGGCATTTTCAAAGTTATTAGGATTAAGCATCACAGGTAGAAAAAGAGAAAAACATATGAAGTCAGAGACACATACACACACAAGTCATCCATTTTGAAGTGAACTATAGGTTCTAT